GCAGAGGCAGAGCCGAGCCCAAAACATAAGCAACAGCAGGGAAGCAACAGGGCACGCACAGCAGGCGATGCAGCAAGGCAGCTGATCGAGGGTCTGCAAGCGGGGGAGCTTCCTCGTGCCCCCGGCTCAGGGGCAGGGAGGGGCGTCTCGCCCCTCATGCTGGAGGGGAGTCTGCGGCAGTGGGGGCAGAGAAGGGGCCCGGGCGGGCCGCAGCAGGGCAGAGGCGAGAGGCGTCTGTCCACACGCCGAGCCCTGCGGCCGCGCTGCCAGCAGGACCTGTGCCAGCCAGCACAGAGCGGCGAGGGCTGGGCTCACCGGCCGCTGTCCCCACCTGCTACCACCGGCCCCGGGGCTCCCTCGTCCTCTCCTCGCCAAGCAAAAGCCAGGAAATGAATGGCAGGGACAGAAGCCAGGGCAGATTTAGGGACACTTCCTCAGTGACACAAGCCATTAAACATGCCCCTGCGAGGTGGGCCAGGCAGCAGGCAGGCAGATTTACGGCCTGCCCGGCTCCTGCCTCGGCTCCACACCGCAGCCATCCATCGCCGCGCTCCGTGCGCGCAGCTTGTCCGCTCCCTACAGCAGAACTATTTTTCTCCAGGCAGGAAAAGATTTATATTTGCAGGTGGAGGAGCTGCCAGCTTGGGAGCGGATCCTCGTCCGTGCTGCCCGCCAGCCCAGCCCGGACACGCGCGCCGAAAGCAGCACGAGCCCCGCCACGCAGCCTGACCGGGAGACGAAGACCCCCACAGACGGCTGAGACATTGCTCCCCGTCCGGGCAGGCGCCACAGCCTGCCAGAGTCAGCTTTTCTCCCTCCATCAACTACCCGCCGTCCCACTCAGTCTCGCACCCGACACTGCCCCTCCGCAGTCGTGGGGCTTGCACGCTGGGCCCAGCAAGGCCAAGAACAGCTTCAGTTCACGTTCCTCCAAGTCCGAGCTGGCTGAGGCCAACGCCGTACTGCAAACACGGGGGCTCGGGGCCCGACACAGACGTGGACGCTGTGCCCATGCTGCCTCTCCCTGCCGTCTCCAACAGCGAGGATGAAGACAGCCTGCTGCGCTCGGAAAGGTGACAGCCTAGAAACCCCTGCCGCTCCTGGCCTTTATCGGCAAGGGGTTTGCTGCAAGGGACTCCGGCCATTTCGCGGATGCCTTCTGGTTTTGTTTAAGAGCCCAGGCATTTCTAGCCCGCTGTCCTGCAGCCACACGCTGCAGCGGGGTGCCACAGCAGGGGCACGTGCCAGCGAGGGGAAGCGTGCCTGCAACAGCGCTGCGCGTGCCACGGTTGTGCACGGACCCCCACAGCACCCTCTGCATCCTGTCGGCCCTGCCAGCCTTGGCTCGGGTTCGGCGGGTGCAGCTGGCACTGACGGAGCTCTTGTTCCTTGCTGCTCACATGCATTTTATTTACTGATTCCAGGCCTTTTTTGGGTGTGTGTGCAGTTGCCTCCAACGTGACTCTGCATTATCAGGGCTATAATGAGTCCCTGTTAAAATGGATTTGATGGAATAATTATATTCCAAAAAAGAAAAAGAAAAAACCTGCAGGAAAGCGCTCTCCTCCTGAAAGGGCAGGATCATCAAACATGCGTGCCACATTATTTGCAGTCACACCTTCTGCTGCATCTGCTCCTTTTAAAATATCTAACTCCAATCTGATCTGAATATATAAATCTGAATTATCACAGCAAAAGGAGATGTGCTCACACCTTTTTTTTTTTATCTGTTGCCATGGTGATTAGATAAAATTCACGTCAAGTCTCTGGGGAAGGATGGGATTATTTCAGACAGAATCTCACCCCACTTGGTGCGAACAGCGCCTACAGCTGCTTCCCTCCCTCGGTAACAGGTCTGGACACATGGCTCAGTCTGGAGGGCCGGACAGCCGGCCGGCCGGGCGAGGGGCACAGGGCACCTCTCCAGAGGGCAGCGGTAGACAGAGGAGGGGGAGACGGCACCCCGAGAGGCGGCAGCACCACAGAGCCTCCCCCTGCGATTCAAACACAGGCCAGCCCACCCCAAGGAGGTGCTAAAATGTTTAATTAAGAT